ACTCTTTCCTGCCTATGCAGGGGGTTGGACTCGATGATCCGTTGAGGTCCCTTCCGACCCTAGCATCCATTAATCTATGCGCTGCTTTGTAAATCTGGGTTGTTGGGGGCTCAAAAGTAGACTCCAGAACTACTTTAGTGTTTTGGTTTTGTAAATGAGAAGTAATGCAAGAGACTATTTTAGGGCATTATGGAATATGCACCTTTTAATCGCACATTATGGAAGTGTGATCAATAAAATGCCTTGTTAGTTGAATGAAATCAAGAGATGGAGTCAGGCCACCACTGTTCTAAAAACAGAAATAGCGTTAGTTAATGCACTGAAAGGGCTATTGAGAAATTTGAACATAGACATCAGTTTTGATGTCTAATGTCTCAAAATAGTGGGATTTTTTGCGGGGTGGCATTTTAGTGCTGTAACCATAATTCCTGAAACATCACACGTAGGAAAATACTCCTGACTTTACTTCTGCTTGAGAGCTTAGGATTCTGTATGTTTTCAGATGGCATGCAAGAAGAATGCACATATTTTACAATGACTAATGCCCTGCTAGCAGTTGTTCTTTGTGTCTTTGAAGTAGCACTGTTCCATTTGAAGCTTGCATCTGACATCTGATTAGATCATGTTTGATTTTACTCCAGCTTTCAATTTAAAATATTTAGCACCACATGTCACAACACAGAGTTGAATTATTTTTGCTGGCAGGTATATTAAAAGAATAGTCTGATATTTTTGGTTTGTTAATAACTTTTTTTTCTATTTGATTCTTTTCTACTCAACAGCTTCTGGCAGTTTCAGACTTGTTTACAGAAAGAAATCAGTTTGAGATGATGTACACAACCCTGACAGAATTGAGGAAGGTGCATCCATCAGAAGATGAGATCCTCATTCAGTATTTGGTACCTGCCACATGTAAGGCAGCAGCTGTTCTTGGAATGGTAAGAAATTAGTGCATGTAAGTTTTGTGGCCAGTGTACAATGCATTAACCATTGTAAACTGGTAGCACTGTACTCACACCACAAAGATCTGAGAACAACTGATGTTTTGTATCTGCTTTTTAAATTGCTTCTCATAAATATATTTTATACATGTTTAAAAACCTAGCATTCAAATCTAAACCAAGTATTTTTCACTGTATCCTGAAGAATGTTATATTTGTGATTTGGAGGAGTGTGGTGAGGCATGAACTCCAAAAGAGTGGTCCTCAACTGAGAACCTCTGCTCTGCTCGAGCAAGTGTGTGAAAGATGGAAATACAATTCCTGGTACAGCAACTTTCACATATTCCTGTTCACTTCCATTTAATTAAACTAATTGAACATCATACTACCATATTCTTCTGAATCCAAGATTACTTTGATTTTAAGATGGCCCCCCAGTAATTAGTTTCTAGACATAAAACATTTGTAAACTTGTTATAATTTTTCATGTTTAGAAAATTATACATAGAAAATGTCTATACATGTATAGAAAAATTGCATGTTGAATTCTTCCTCTCTGCTGCCGCTGCTTGCCCCACTGCAGCAGTAGGAGAGGAGTCAAGTGGCCTGACCTCTGTTCCTTGCTGCCTGATTAGCCTTCTACCCCTCTCTGCAGTGCCCACACCCCCTGGCACCTGCCCTCTACTGCATCCCCCTGCTGTTCACTCTCCCATCGTGGTTTCAGCTTCTGCATTTCTTGACCCTTGAACTAAAAATACGGGTGTTTTGGAAGAGGCATTCAGATATGAATGTTAGTGGCCAAAATAAGTTCCATAGAACATTAGTAATATGGGGCAGTATCTTAAGTACTACATTTGTGCAGGCCTTCGGCACATAGCCATCTTCTAATATACCAAAATTCTGTCACATGTTCATCAGTTTAGAAGACTATTGACAGGTTAAACTTGCAGGTGTCCAAAGTCCACAAATGTTCTTGGCATATAAACAGCCTAAGCTCTATCCAGTAGCAATAAACTGGTGAAGTGGGACTGCGATAAGCGTGCAGGAGGTAAGATTCTGAATGACAGCTGGCATGGCTTCGTTGCAGGAGGTCTTGCCTTACCAACCTCATCTCCTTCTATGACCAGGTAACTTGACACCTGGACATGAGAAAGCAGGTTGACATCGTATACCTAGACTTCCAAAAGGCCTTTGATCTAGTATCCCACAATATTCTCAGGAGCAAATTGGAAGATCGTGGGCTTAACTCCAAGACACTCAAGTGGGTGAGAACCTGGCTGCAGGATAGGATCCAGAGAGGTCGTAGTGAACGGATCCGTGTCATCCTGGCGAGAAGTGGGCAGCAGTGTCCTGCAGGGGTCAGTGCTCGGTCCAGTACTTTTCAGCATCTTTATTAACGATTTGGATGTGGGGGTGAAGAGCTCACTGGTCAAGTTCACGGATGACTCCAAGTTATGGGGGAGTGTGGTCACGCTTGAAGATAGGTCTACCTGTAACTGTAGCCTAGACAGGCTGGCAAGTTGGGCGGATTGGAATCTGATGAAGTTCAATGTCGAGAAATGCAAAGTGTTCCATCTCGGGACAAGCAACCCCCACACACCTACAGGTTTGGCAGCACCAAACTGACTAGCACCATGAATGAAAGGAATCTGGGGGTAATTAATAGACCACAATATGAATATGAGCCGGCAGTGCAATGCTGTAGCCAGCAGGGCAAATAATACTCTGGCATGCATCAGTCAATGCATCTCCAGCAAAGCCAAGGAGGTGATTCTTCCGCTCTACTCGGCACTGGTGAGACCGCAGCTGGAGTACTGCGTTCAGTTCTGGGCACCACATTTTAATAAGGGCGTGGACAAGTTTGAGAGTTCAAAGAAGAGCCACCTGTACAATCAGAGTCTTAAAAGGCAAGCCATATGAGGAAAGGCTGAGGGATCTGGGACTCTTCAGTCTGAGGAAAAGAAGGCTGAGAGGGGGACCTGGTACCAGCTTACTGCTACACTAGGGCAGTACATCAAGGGCTTGGTGAGCAACTGTTCAATTCACCAGGGCACCCGAGGGGAAAACCAGGAGTAATGGTCACAACCTCCTGGAAGATCGATTCAGGCTCAACATTAGGAAAAACTTCTTCACAGCCAGGGTGTCCAGACTGGAATAAACTCCCTCCAGAGGGTAGTGCAAGCACCTACCCTGGAAATTCTCAAGAAGAGACTGGATGGTCACTTCACTGGGGTCATCTGACCCCCAGTTATCTTTCCTGCTTCGTGGAGGGGGCTGGACCCGATGATCTTTCAAGGTCCCTTCCGGCCTTACAGTTTTTGAAAGTCTTTCCCAGGTAAAAGACAAATTTAACATTTTGGTGCAGTCCTTTACCAGTTACCAGAAATTATATTTTTCCTCCATTAATTTGAACATTGTAATATCTCTGGAGGAGGATAATTAATACTCAGAAATAGACACATTCTTTAGCAAAATTTTAAATTCACTAGCCATAAAATACCAGGTTATTCAGTTACTTTTAAATATACCAGAAGTGCTTCAACAACTACATACTATCTGCAGAGCTCTGGTTCATGCCATCTTTGTCTGTTCCTTAGTTTGTTACCAGGTGCGGTGAGTCATTCTAATTGGTCCTATGTTTAGTTTTGGCATGTGGTTTTGTGTTCGCATTAGGATAAAGCTGTAGCTGAGCCAGTGAGTCGTCTTTTGGAATCAACCCTGCGTAGCACGCACATGCCAAGTCGGATTGGCGCGCTCCATGGAATTCTTTACATTCTCGAGTGTGACCTGCTTGATGAGACAGCAAAGCAACTCATTCCAATTATCAGCGAGTATCTGCTTTCCAATCTGAGAGGGGTAGCACAGTAAGTGCTGTATATTTATAACTCTGCTGTGACTTAAGTCCAAAAACAAGTTTTGAGCTGTAAAATAATTGTCCAGAAATAACTGAGTAGACCACAATATTTCTATCAGTCCCACAACCTTTACAAGAGATTCCCTAAGATTCCTGTGTTGAGAGCAGTACTGCTTGTTAGTGTGTTGCTGTTTCTGCTTCTGATGTCAGATACAAGTAGAGCATATGAGCAGTAGCAAAAACAAGCATTTAATTTGACAGTTTTGAAGTTTCAAAAGGATTGGTTTGTTTTTAAAGCCTCAGTGAATGTTCAGTCTGTTTGAGAGAGCTTGCTTGCCTCAATTTACCCTTTTTGAAGTATTAAGAGACACTCGGATTGAAAAAGTCTTTTGTCCACAGATGAGAACTTGTAATATTTGATTCCTTCTAGTGTCCCCTGCTGCCAGAATTAGCTTTGATTTGGAGAAGTCAAACATCCCTTGAAGATGAGGAAGAAATCTAGTTGGTAGCTTAGTCTACTCAACTGGGACTTATTACTAGTTCAAAGCCTGGCTTTCTTTTGATATCATAAAGAGTTTAATCTTTCCTAGGAGTACTGCAGAAACACCAGCAAAGAGCATTTGTCCTAAAACAACTGAGACAAAACTAGGTTCTAATTATGGCACTTAAACTTATTCTTAGGACTCGTGTAACACTGTACTTACATAAACAGTAACCATTTTTGGGGGCATATGGTGATTCTTTGAGAGTGATTTGCCAAATAGTTTGTTTAGTGTCAAATATTGCAGTAAGATAATATTTAACAAAAAAGTGTAGTCCATATAGAGCACTCATGTTTTATTACATTTTTAAGAGATGACTTTTAATAGATATAACTCTTGGCTTCCTTGCTTATTTACAGTTGTGTGAGTGTCCATAACCAACAGCACATCTTGGTAATGTGTGCTGCAGCATTCTACTTGATAGAGAATTATCCACTTGATGTAGGGCCTGAGTTCTCTGCAGGAATAATACAGGTATGTAATGCTTCAGATTGCAGAAGGCAACTCAGACTCACTTTCATAGTTTTTCCAAAAAAAAATCATCATAAAAGTAGTGTGTACTTTAGAAGGAATTCAAGGCGTTGAAAGCAACTAAACCAGTTGCAGCTGTCTGTGTCTGTTCTGACATATTGGTGCTAGGATTCAGATAGGATAACTTGTTTCTTAGATTTCTTTCTTGGTTATTTCAGATGTGCGCCGTTATGGTGTCTGGGAACGATGAATCTACTCCATCCATCATATACCATTGTGTCCTGAGAGGACTAGAACGACTCCTGCTTTCAGAGCAACTCTCTAGACTGGATAGTGAATCTCTAGTTAAACTAAGTGTTGACAGAGTGAATGTACACAGCCCCCACCGAGCAATGGCAGCACTGGGGTTAATGCTGACCTGCATGTATACAGGTTTGGATATTATTAAATTTTGTCCCCTGTAAGTGTATAAATGCATCGGTTCAGGAGGAGAAATCATATGGCTCTTCTAATGGACTTCTCAGAAAATCAACAAAACTTTACAGCTTTTTAAGAGAACTGAATTTTTCATTGTTTTTGTTGAAACAAGGCCAATTTTGTTCATTACAACTGCATTTGTATAGCAAGCTCTTACAGGATATCTGGTTTCTTTGTAGGAAAGGAGAAAATTAGTCCAAGTCGTGCTACAGATGCAAATCCCACAGCCCCAGACAGTGAATCCGTTATTGTGGCTATGGAACGGGTATCTGTTCTTTTTGATAGGTAAGAGTATCAAACCTTTACCGTAAACAGGAAAGTACCTTTGTGGCCTGTTCTGTTTGCTGGTCAATGCTGTTCATGGCAATTACTTTTTAAAGTTGTTTTTTACTTGGCTGTTGGTCAAAATCATGATGTCAATCATATGCAGTAACACAGTAACTTCTTTGGAGTTGTTTGGTCCAGCACAGATGTATAAGAACCGTAATGCAGATAAACCAGATTCTTGTTCACAAGGATGAAGGTTTCTGGTGCATAAAATATGTGCCTTTTTGTGTATGGTGACAAAATATTTGAAAGATCGTCATCACAAAGTACCATAGTACTTTCATTCCTTGTGTTGATGATGATAATAATAATGCCATTTCCCCAGCCTTTAAAGGCATTAGGAAACTTTAGATGCAAACCCTAACTTTGACATCAGTTGCCCCCTCTAGAAGCTTCTTGACATCCATCAACCCGGGTTTGTTGCAGGTAGGTCTTGCTTGACCAATTTTATTTCCTTTTATGACTAGGTGACCTATCACCTGGACAAGGGAGAGGAGATTGATGTTGTATATCTTGACTTTAAAAAAGCCTTCCATCTGCTATCCCATGATCATCTCTTGGCAAAACTGGCCAACTGCAGCCTCGGGTCCACCACGATCCACTGGCTGGGGAATTGGCTCCATGGTCGGACCCAGAGGGCGGTGCTTGACGGAAGTCAATCGTCTTGGTGCCCTGGGACCAGTGGGGTCCCTCAAGGCTCTGTCCTTGGACCTGTATTGTTCAATATCTTCATTAATGATGTGGACATTGGTGTCAGAAGCACACTGTCAAAGTTTGCTGATGATACCAAACTTTGGGGTAAAGCCTCTACAGCTGAGGACAGGAGGGTGGTCCAGGCTGACCTGGACAGGCTCAGGAAACGGGCAGGCGAGAACCTGATGGTGTTTAACACTGCAAAATGTTCTCCGCCTTGAGAGGAAAAATCTGCAGCAACCTTATAGGCTCGGCAGTGCTATGCTAGCTAGCACTATGGACGAAAGGGACTTGGGGGTCATGATTGACCACAAAATGAACATGAGCCTTCAGTGTGATGCTGTGGCTAGTAAAGCGAGCAAAATGCTGGCTTGCATCCATAGATGCTTCTCAAGCAAATCCCAGGACATCATTCTCCCATTGTACTCGGCCTTAGTGAGGCCATAGCTGGAGTACTGCGTCCAGTTTTGAGCTCCACAATTCAAAAAGCATGTGGAGAAGCTTGAGAGGGTGCAGAGGAGAGCCATGCACATGATCAGAGGTCAGGAAAACAGACCTTATGACAAGAGGCTGAGAGCTATGGGACTCTTCAGCCTGGAGAAGTGCAGGCTCATGGGCGATTTGATGGCCACCTATAAATTTATCAGGGGTGTCCACCAGGATCTGGGGGAACATTTGTTCACCAGAGCACGCCAGGGAAAAAAAAGGTCGAATGGTTATAAATTCCTGCAAGACCGTTTCAGGCTGGACGTAAGGAAGAATTTCTTTACGGTCCGAGCTCCCAAGGTCTGGAGTAGTCTGCCGTCGGAGGTGTTTCAAGCACCTACATTTGAACACCTTCAAGAGAAAATTGGATGCTTATCTTGCTGGGATCCTATGATCTCAGCTGACTTCCTGCCCCTGGGGCAGGGGGCTGGACTTGATCTTCTGAGGTCCCTTCCAGCCCTAAGGTCTATGAAATCTATGAAACCTTGCAGAAACTTCCCTGCATATCCATATTCAGTGCTGTCTCTGAAATTTGCTGAGGCTTATATTGTCTCCTGCACAATCATTGCAAAATGTAATCTTTCAGTCTCTCATCATCCATTAGTTTGTATTGAAAGTACTATTGAAGTTAATAATGGATGGATACATGTTCTTTTCTGGATGTCATGCTCATATGGATAGCCTTTCTTCATGATGCATGGTACTGTCGTGCATCAGTCTAAACTTGATGGATCTGCTTCAATCTCAGAAAACTCACCTCGGAATCTATAGTTCTGTCTATAAACAGGTGAATTTCAGTGACTTGCATAACCTCAGTCTTAGAAAATGTTGGATTGAAAAATCAAGGTCCCTGTAAAGACTATGGGTTAGAAGCTTGAACTACTCAGTGGGGGAGTGTTCCTAGTTATTGGGTTGGGTTTTTTTTCCCCCAACTTAAAAAGCAATGGCAATTTTCTTGAAGGACTGGAATGCTCACATGGGTCAGTTGGTTACAGAAACAGGAAAATATACTTTTTTGCTTTGAAATGGGCTCAATAAAACTTCCTGACTTCCAGAAAGGTCCAGAAATTCTAAGAGCTATCTGTACTCTTACTGGACAACACTACCATAGCAACTTGCACTGTAAGCTTGGAGGTAGGGAACACGTTGTTTTTGGTTTTAACATGGATTGCGTGAAAATTAAAAGGAAGGGCCAGAAGTTCCAAGCTAGTCTCAGAAAATTAATTCTTGCTGTCTAGATGGAGGTATATTTGACACCCTAGCAATCGGCCATTGAAGTCTCGCTGTCTCTCCTTCCCCGTGACAAATGGTTAAAGGAAAGAGGGTATATATTTGTGAACCCCTAAACCTGGGGCAGTCGATTAATTTGGCTGGAGGGCCACTTAATGAGTTTTAGTGAGCTGTTGAGGACTGCAAGGGTGGCCCACCCCTTGATGGGTGCCCTGCCCCCTGGTTGCCAAATTGGGACTGGAAGTCCTGCCCCCTAATCCCTGACCTTTGCCCCTGGAAGTCCCTTGCCCCAGAAGTACTTCTTGGGGGCTTGGGGTTGCCATCTTGAAACCAGAAAAAAACCACATCATTTACTAAAAAAAAACATCTACAATAATGTATTTTAATTTTATTTAAAAAAACATTTTTGTCCTAATTTGCACGTTTGCATAGTACAGGGGTTGTCAGCTGGGGGTACTTGAGAAGGCCCTAGCGGGTACACATGGGCAGGCAGGGATGAAGTGCCACCACACATGATCCCGTGCTGCCACGCAGGTGCTGCCTGCCCAGCCAGATGTGGGGGAAGCTCATACGCAGCAGCTACTGCTGCTCTGCATTTGAATGTGCGCCACCCCGCCACCCCCACTTGTGTCCAGCTGCCGGGGGTACACTGACCTAAAAAGGTTGAAAACCCTTGGCATAGTACATATAGAGGCTATTGCATAATAATTCAAAATACAGTCTTACTCTTGTATATTGTTGGGGGGAGGGCAGAGCGGTGTGGTTGGGGAGGGTGTGTGGGGTATGTGGTTGGGGTGAGGGCTGTGAGAGGGTGTGGGTGTGTGGGGTTATGGTGGGGGGTGGGAGTGTATGGGTATGTTTGGGGGAGTGCCGCTTATGGGAGGGTGTGTATGGTGCGGGGGTTTGATGTATGGAGGATGGGGGGGTCCTTGGAGTCCCTAGATCTGCATGTGGTAGCAGCAAGTGGGACCAGCTCTGCCTAGCCCCATAGTGCACAGCTCCCTGCACTCCCACCCCAGTCCCTGGCTGCAAGTGGGGCAGCATGTGGGGCCAGCCCTGCCTGGCCCCATAGCATTCCCGTCCAAGTCTCTGGCCACGCGTGGCAGGGTGCAGGGGCAGCCCCATAGTGCACAGTTCACATGCTCCTACCCCAGTCCCCAGCCACATGTGGTGGCAGGGTGTGTGGCCAGCCCCATAGCGTGCAGCTCCCTGCACTCCCCCACTTTCCCCCAGCGGGAGTTCCTGGCCCTTTACCTGCATTTCCAGGCTTGCAGGCAGGGAGGCTGGGAACTGGCACCAGGTGGCCAGACAAAAGCCTCTGCCAGGCAGAGACATCTTGTCCCCAGCATCCCCTGGCAAGGGGCTGGGGCTGCAGTGGGTCAGGCCAGGTGGGGGCCTTACAGGGCCAGGGCTGTAAGACAGGGCCAGGGCTTAGAGGGTGCTTATTGGGGGGGCCCTGCAGGCCAGATGGAGTTGCTTGGTGGGCTGGATTCAGCCTGCTGGCCATATTTTGACCACCCTGCCCTAAACTGTAGTTCACAATCAAACTTAACAGTTTTATAGTCTGCTAACTAGGGGTCTTTTTCATCAGAACTATGTTAAAATTCTCAGCTTCTCAGCAGAGAAGACCCTATACCCACCATGCAGTCCTGTTGATGTTCATGAACTTGGAAAATAAAGTTAGGAATAGCCAAGTTTCTGATAACATCGTATCGACCAAGGTGACCAGGGTACTTGTAGGAAGCCACTGTAGCTCACCATCTTCCCAAATATTTATCTATATATATATATCTATATATCTTGTATATAACATCCCTATCATATCCAAAATCAAAACTTCTAAAATTGACCAATGCTGAACGTGAGGTCTTGGCTTAAGGAGTGCTGACAGATGTGGAGGGAGACGAGGGACAAAAAATACACTTTACTGAAAGAAGCAGCATGTTAGTTCAACCCAGCTCTGCAGTGTCTGTATAGATAGAGTGCTTCAGTGGGGTTTTTTGGTGCTTTTATCTAATAGCTGATTTTATCAGTTATTAGATAAGTGACAAAAAGCCACAGTAAAGTGCCTGGTCTTTACAGACATTGGATAAGCCAGATCTAACTAAACGCAGTACTTCTGGGCATGTGCTGGGCTCAGTGTAGGGACACACGGAGTTTAAAGTAAAGTACTGGGAGATTTTTTTACATCTGTATGCAGCCAAGATGTTTTTCAGATTGGTTTTCCTATAGAACTTTTTTACTGTGAATTTTTATTTTTTATTTATTTTTTTATTTTTTATAGTCAGCTATTAAAAATATTGGTTTACTGCCACAATCTCATGACTTAAGTGCCTAAATCCCATTGAAAATCAGTTTACATCAATAACTCTTAAGTGACTTTCAGGATCTCTTACTTTTTAAAAAAGAGCTATGTGCCCTTTCATATCACCTTAACTAAAATTATTAGAATGTCAAGTAGATACAGGCTGAAGATAATCTAAGCAAATAGCTTGTTTAGTTTCTGTATGATTTATTTCCTGCTATGGGAAACTTGAACTTGTGTTCTAACCCAGCAGTCTGTAGGTGTGTTAGGTGCTGCAGTATAGAGGCCAAGAGCATTCAATTGTGTCTTAGTCGTCCCCATTGCATTTGGTGGGATTTATACCCCTAGTTTCAATTGGAATAGTTAGACCAGTGCTTGACAGCTTTTGGAAGTACCAGTTGTAAGAGTTCATAGGTTTAGTTGTGGAACACATCCACTACAATGTTCCTCTTCATATTTATTTTTCACACTTTGAGCTTGTTTTGAGATGCAGATATAGTATACTATTCTTAGAGTTCATGTGGCTTTTTTAATAAGATTTGCACCAGAAATTACATTAACTGTATTAAAAATTTAATGTCTTAGAACTTTGGACAAACTTCTTGATGTGTTGTCAGCTGGGTAAGGCATTTATCTGTCAGTCCTGAAAAACCTCCAGGTTTACGTGTATATTTAATAAAATAAAATAAAATAAAAAAGTTACTTTCCTTTCTCACTTGAATCCAAAAAAATGGAATAATTTTTATAGGGCCTAAATTGCCAAGAATAGTCTGCTGAATTAAAATGACGAAATGTATTTATTTTCTCTGTTTCCTCCTAGGATCAGGAAAGGATTTCCTTTTGAAGCTAGAGTAGTTGCACGAATCCTCCCTCAATTCCTAGATGACTTCTTTCCTCCACAGGATGTAATGAATAAAGTTATTGGAGAATTTTTATCCAACCAGCAGCCATACCCTCAGTTCATGGCAACTGTAGTATATAAGGTAATATGTTTGATTTTCTTTTCCCTTACCTGGGGGAGGTTTGTTGATCCTAAAGAGTTAACTAGGCAAATTTTACTACTGGTTTTATGTTACCAATGAGTATTATCAGAAGTACTCATTTAACACCATAAACATATTTTAATGTGTCAGTTGTGACATCTTAAATATTTAAAAGGTATACTTTTTCACCTCTTGAGTGGCATTTGTACTATATTTCTGCCAATAACATAGAAGGTTATTCTGCAGAACATTATCAGAAGTGACACAATAAATCAGCAGCAGGTTGTGATTCAGTTATGGGCTGGATTTGGTATTTTATTGAACAAAGCACATGTCCAAAGAGCTAATGCTGCTACATTGATAAGCAAAGTTTATCATTTCTGTTTTAACTGACTTAAAGGCAGGGCAGCTATAATAAAGTTCTATTGCCCATGTACTTGCACATTTTAGAATAAATAAAGCTGAGTTATCATTTTAGGAAACAAGAAAATGTAGAGAAGGATCCTGCATGTCTGCAATTTTAAGATCATAACAGAGCAGGGTGTAATTTTAAGTGCTAGGAAGTGAAATGAGAAAAAAGCTTAGTTTTGGGATGGGGCGGGGGAATTATAGGTGGCCAACACTTGTTTGCGTGAGTCCAGATATTGGAAGAGCCCTTTGGATCTGCCAGCCTCACTTTAGGATTGTGTTTAAAAATGTTGTGTACCCAGATGTTCCAGAAGGACAAAATCTGGGATCATGGTATCATAGGCTAAACTGGCACTTACCAAATCAATGGAATAAGAAGAATCATACCCTGAAATTCTTCAGCTCAGCTTGTGATCAGACGGACGTAAGCTAGCTTCCTTGCAGAATTAAGGAGACAGTGGATGGCACTGGCAGTGCCTTCCCTCTGGTCTGGGCCTGCCATTTTAGCACAAATTTGCGAAACCTGTTCTCTCCCCATCCCCCAAACCTATAATATAAATAGTCACAGGCGTGTGACATGCATGCCAAGTAGTTTTGATGTAGTACTTTAACTCAGTTACAACTTTGTCACAACATTATATCCATGGAGTGTTTGACAGTCACGTGTAGCTAACAGCCATTCTTAACAGGAAGGTCAACTTCTAAAATCAGAATGCCAGATCCAGTTTCTTCAAAGACTTATACAACTTGATTCATTCATATTAGTTGGTTTCTAGAGGGTTTGCTGCTGGAGAAGCTTGCCAGTCCAGAATTATTATGTGCTTGTAATGTTTGATGTCTGGCCATTGATGCTGTTGTAGCATATCTCTTCCCTTGTGAAATGTTTATTAACTTTTGCAGGTATTTCAGACACTACATACCACTGGACAGTCATCGATGGTCCGTGACTGGGTGATGCTTTCTCTCTCCAACTTCACCCAGAGAACACCTGTTGCTATGGCAATGTGGAGTCTTTCCTGTTTCTTTGTCAGTGCTTCCACCAGTCAGTGGATTTCAGCAATGTATCCTGAACAATTTGGAAATATTTCTCTAAGTGGGTTTAGCATCTCCCTAAATTGGATTGATTGTGCTAGAAACTGAAATCTTTCTTTTTGTTCACCAAGCAAGCACAGCATGAGCAGCAGTGGTTTACACTTTGTTTTAAATTACAAGCAAAGAACATGCTGCCAGTAGCTGAGGTTTGTAAAAAAACAAACAAACAAAAAACCAAAACTGCTTCTAGAAAAAGGAACATAAAATTGCATAGAAAAGTAGAGTTGGAAGGGAACTCGGGAGGTCATTTAGTCCAACCTTCTGCTCAAGGCAAGTCCATCCTTATCCAAACCACTCCACATAAGTGCTCATCCAACCTATTCCCAAAACTACGCAAGTAACCCTGTTGCACAGCCTCAAAGCACATTGCCCCAAACACCCAACCTGTCATGGGAAAAGTAGGGGGATGATGTCCAACCAGTGCAAGGTTTATTAAAAAACACTGGAGAGATTCAAGGAAGAGAGCCACACCCTCTGCCACAGAAGAAGGCCAAAACCTCCACAGTCCATGCCAATGTAACCATGGGGTAAAATTCCTTCTGATCCCAAATGTGGCGATTGGTTTGACTGTGCGAGGAGGTGCCAAGACACTTTTAACCTGGAACTTCGTAGTTTTAGCCCCAGCAAAACCATGGGCAGACCCCAGCCAAAATCCCCAGCCTTGGCTGTGGCCAACACCCAATGCTTGTGAGGAAGCTGCATTGTCCATTCCCATCCAACCAAACCAAACAAACAAAAAAACAAAAGCATTTGACACCTGTAGCAGCAAGAGGGGAAAACTTCCTTCCTGGCCTCATGCAGTAACCAGCAAAGCCCAGCAGCATTGGAAAAATCAAACACCCTCTATTCGGCTTTGCACCCTTGGGACAGCGAGCACAACTCCACACGTCAGGTCCCTAAGTGGAGAATTGGAGAATTAGAATTTCCCGATCTGTAATCCTATCTCCATAAATTTATCCAAGATTTTTAAATGGTCACCTGTATTTATGGAGGAAGGCTTTAATCTCTGTGAATCAGTTTGGAATTGTGAGCATGGTTGCCAGCTAATACCAACTGTAGTAGTTTTAATGTTGGTGCCAACCTCAGATACAGTTTATAACTTTACTTTTCAGGTTTAAATTATGAACTATTTAAATACCAGGTTAGGGTAAATTTTTGAGCAGTATTTCAGGGTCAGCAGTGTCCATCTCATCTTGAGGGGAGCAAGTCATGGCAAAAACCTCATATTACTGTGGAAAATCTTTCTTTTAATCTTGTAAACTGTTAATGTTGTAAAGGACTGTAAGCTAGAAGGGAGTATGTTGAGAAACTACTGTAAGTACTGTAGGAAGAATCAGTGATCAAGGGAACTACATTTAGAACTTGTTATCAGATGTATTCATTGTTGTTGTTTTTTTCTTTTCTGTTTTAAAAGCCTTCAGAAGCACTGTCATTCTAACAAAGCTCTCCAAAAATAATATCCTCATCTATTCTCTCTCTACTCCCAAAAACAACCCTATAATATATGGTGAATATCCCCCATCAGGCAAATTTTAGTCATCTTAAACTGTAGCAACATGGTGATATTTTCCAGAGTACTTGGAAAGAGCCAGTTGTGCTGCCCTGCTGTGCACTTTATTGATAGAAAAAGAAAAAACCTGTATTCAAGAAAACCCACCTTGCTGGTGCTTGGGAAATGGGGGGTGTGTGTGTGTGAATTTTCCTGCAGTGTTTTACAGTTCCTTGATCATTATTCTTATTTCAGTAATCCCACTTAATTGAAGGTAGTGCAGAACTGCATTGCTGAAGAGGGCCCAGTAAAACAAAATGAACATTTTGATACCTTTTTAAACGAATATGTTAGGATTAGTAAGGAAGTTGCATGAAGTTCGCTAAGAAATAAAGGTTTTTGTATGGCACTTGAAATGCTACAAGCAGATGCCCTGGCCTTGGAACTCCTGATTAAGCAAAAAAAAAAAAAAGTACTCTATCGGAGAACAGTGTGCTCTTCAAACACGTGCGTAAGGTTTTAAAGTTTTGTCTTCTCTTATTATGTCCTTAACTTCTTTCCCAGTCTTCCACATATTATCAGCAGAATGGGAAAATCAGAACAAGTGGATGTTAATCTTTTCTGTTTGGTGGCCATCGATTTCTACAGACATCAGATAGACGAAGAGCTAGACCGGAGAGCCTTTCAGTCTGTGTTTGAGGTTGTGGCATCGCCAGGAAGCCCCTATCATTGTCTGCTAACTTGTTTGCAAAATGTTCACAAGATCACAGCATGCTAAACACCCTGGTGTTTCATAGTCAACTGGATGTCTTGCATTGGAATCTGGCATGAATGTTTGGAGGAACATAAAGATTCAGAAAGCAGCTGGTGTTTGCACTTGTAATAATGTGAACTGGTTGGTTTTTATTTCCATGATACTTTTGCATGGAGGATAAGCACTCTGCACCACAGAGAATCACAGGGAAGGTATAAGGGAACACTTCTATTGACAATGGGCAACAGTGGTGAAGGGAAATATGTACATATGTTCAAAGTAATGTTTGGAACTAATCTAAGAGGCCATTACTAACTGTAAGATATGGGTGAGTACAACATGCAGGTAACCGGGTATTGCTCTTTCTAATGTTCAACTTAAGTCATCGTATTGCTGCTGGTATTGAAACTTTGGCAGAAATCCTGTCTCAGTGCAAGCTGCACTCATTAGAAACCATTAAAGTTTTATGTAGATATATACATACCATGGTGTAGTACAGATTAGAAGTTGTTTCCTAATGTCTCTCCTAAACAAAGAACAGAGAAACCAGTTTTCACGAATAACACTCCCAGCATGTAGTTCTTCTATTTCTGGACTCTAATCCCCTGTGGAGTGTGTGTCGGTGTGGGGGCTGTAGTGCGCAGACATAACCACACTTTTTTTTTCTTCTCAGGATTTAAAATGTGAGTACAATAGATCAGCCAGAGAAATTTTAACTTAAATATTTCTATATTATGTAAAGTATGTACAATTGTAAAACGTGTGGTGCATGAGATGTGCTGTATTTTTGAGATGAAAAAAGCCAGGCTGCTGAATGTCTTGACACTTACATTGCCCTCATTTTCTCATTGTGCATTTAGCATCATTTTCTTTTTGAAAATCCATCATAATGTCCAGATTACACTTTGTTTTACCTTTCACATTTTTTGTAAACACTTTTAAAACTGGAATTTATTGGCTAGTTTGTGTTGTGAAGTTGTATTAAGGAGGCATTTTTGTGATCCATTTTCTTGTGGCTTCTTTTGAGCTTTATTTTGAGAGATAAAGTTGAAAGAGAAGACTCAACACCTAGGATCAGCCCTTTGTGTATTTAAGAAGCTGCTTACATCTGCTGCACAGCTTTTTTTAAAGAGATTGAATGATGCAAGCTCCCCAGTAGCCAATAACTGACCTTTTTTCTTTCATATTAACTGAAACCATGGACTCCTTTGATATAGACTATCCTAAGCCAATTTATGGTGGCAGTTAAGAAATCAGAAGTCTGCTGTAGTCTACTCTGGGACTGGCTAAAGTGTTAGATTATACAACCTCTTTCATTAACTGTTGTATACATGCAGTGTTTGTTACACAGCATGAATATCTATAAGTTTTGCAAATTCTGCTTTGACCCCACACTTAGAGCACCTAGTTGATTTTAATAAGATGTACATGGAGAAATCTAGGGCAGTATTTGTTCCTAACTGTATTTGCTATAATTCTTTGATATACAGGTCATGCATTGGTTCTCAGCTACATGGCTATATTTAATCTCTATGTTTTTTTCATCAACACCTTTTGATGACACCTCAATAGTGAGAGAGTATTATCAGGAGGAGCATGTACTGTATGTATTTCTGTATATAATATATATGTAAAGTTATACACATGTGACTACATTTAATGTATACAAATGTGTATATTTGTATTTATTAAATTTGTGGATTTAAACTAATTCAAATTCCTAGACCAAAAACAGTGGTTTCTGCCTGTTACTTGATTAAATAGGAATTGCCCACTGTTGTTACTTACTCGTATGATCTAAAACTAATAATAGGGACAGGAGAAATAACTAAGACTTCTCTGTATGTAGCTGCTCTACAAGACTTGCTAGATCTAGAGCAGGTAGTTCTGCCCTTTGTTGGGTTCCTCTTTGTTCTTGGGCCACACCACTGTGGCGACTTCAGTTTCCTTTTAAAAACAAAACAAAACTGAAGTTCAGGTTCAGTTAAATAGATGTTAAATTTTGGGGTTATAGTAGAAATGTATTACCATTCTGGTAAGAGACCCATTGCCATGGCAGCAATTTTAAATAATGCCCTTCACTTGCAGTGAAAGGTCATTATAGATTACTGTTCCTTTTTGTAATCACCAGTAGTAGTTTACTACTGCAGAGCCACACGAGTCCATTTTTGTACAATAAATAGTTTAAGATGATATTTTTATAAGCTATTTTCCAAAATTTAAAATAGACTTTAATATATTTTAAAGCATCTGACTGGTCGCATTCGGTCTGTGTAACACTATACTTTGTGTCATGCACTGATAGATCTTTTTTATTTTAATCTCCTCATAGGTAATACAGCATCATTGTTCAGTTTGTCTCGAGATGGAGGCTGGCCAGCCATCCTTAATGAAATTTCTGAACATGAAATTGAGTCTTGCCATTGTATCTTTACAGCCAGTAAAAGGAGCATGTTTAGCTAAGCGCTCAACATGTGATGCACAACAGCATGCGATTCATTCCCTCCCCTCAGTACTGTTGCTGGCATTTGATAGGATGTCTGTGTTGCATACTGTCAGCCAAGAGTAATACAGCTGACTCTGATCTATCCTTGAGTTTAGTTGAAAGTAATGTTAACCATTCAACTCAGTTTTACCCCTTCATGAAGATTTGTCCTGGCAGACCTAAAGCAACATTTTCTTTGTGTCTGTAGTTCATCCCTCTTTAGAGATGCACCTCCCTTTTCAGATGTTGCAATGGGCCTGAGGACCCATGCCTGTAAGGCTTACATTTAACCTTTCTGTTTGGTGCATGTTTTCTTCCTTCTGTTTTTTTAAGAGAAAACGATCATTTTAGTATTAATTGTTTTAAAACTTGTGCAGTTCTGAAAGCAGGCTTCCATAATTGCTTCATGGTCTAGTTTCTGTGTCTAATTGCATAACAAAATCACACATGGTCTTATGATCAGCGTGCTATTTTTAGAAAGAAAATCTGTTAGATTTTTTTTCCTGTTCAGTTATGATGTATATACATCTGTGTCAAAATAGCTTGTCCCCCTTTAATATGTGATAACAGTAGCATGACACACATCCTCCTTGACATGTAGTTGGTTTTGGAAATTTAAATACTAGTGGTTTTTTAATTGAGAACAGAGGAACGAATATGATAAAATGTAGGACACACATCTCTGGTATTCCAGTGAAGTAAACATGCAACATTTAGCCTGTTCTGCAGTATTAAAATGCAAATAAACAAAAATCTCCCTTCAAGATAATGAAATAGTTTGTAGTACAGCTAACCAAATACATCTGAAAAAAGAAGAATACCTTGCTGTACTGTAAGTGAGCTGCAGTGGAAGGACCTGCACTCCCAATGTATAGTGTAGCTTCCTTTGAGACTACTGGATCTTGCCTGTGAGGTTTTTTAAAGCAAACAAAAACAAAAAAACCTTTGGACAGATATAACTGAGCTCAGTGAAGTTAGGTTATAGTGACTTGCTTTTCAACACTTTTTTATTTTTTCCCTTGCATGGAATGCAATGGGAAATTCAAAATACCTTGTGTTTTAAAGCAACTTGTATAATGGGAAATAAAGGGTCTTTATTTGTGACTCAAGACTTTAACAGTTCAGGTTGTCTATAAGTGTTATTTAAAGTTCTTCCACTTTTTGTCCCTTGTGGCCTATAGCCTTCCAGCTTTCATTATTTCTGTATTACTATGCCTTGGTGAAATTCCTTGTCAGGGGTTAAATTTGAAGTTCACTAAATGACACAAACATATTGCCTAAAACAAGGAGTATCAAATGACCTGATCTAGGTTCAGCTTGAAAAAATTGGCCAACTGTTGGGTTAAAAGTAAATTCTAATTTGGTAATTCATCATCAAAAACATTGCCTTGTTTAAAACAGAATGACTCCAAACTCATCTAGCAGATAAGGAAGTTGTGTCAAAAACACTAAGAAGGCGGTTCTCCAAGAGCAGCAGACCTAAATCTTCATCTGGTTTTGCAGATCTGTCATGACTAAACACTATCCAGTTATGCCTCCTGAATGCAAAGAAACAGTTGGGTGCAGTGAGCAATAAGTATAGCAATAAGTAGTCTAATAAGATTTAGTTGATCAGGACTTTACCCACCAATTAGGTAAGGGATAAAAGCTGCTTCAAGCATACCATTGCATTAAACACAGTTTTGTTTTCTTATAAAGCAAGCCCCCCAACTCTGCTTTGCCCTAAACATACAAACAAACTAGGAATGACAGTGGTAGATGTTTTGCTCTTACCTTTTTTAAAAAAAAAGTGCCAGTATGTTATAGAAAGAAAGCAATTGAAAAACATTAGCAACAAAGGTATTTAGGTAATTACCTTAGTTTTTTTTCCAAATACAAAAAGTTTAACTGTAGTAAAAGTGGAGACTCCATGCACCAGCTGTTCAGATAAATTTGAAACAAAGATTTGGAAGTGAAGCTGAGATCCAATGTGCTCATTTTTATTTACTCTTCAAAATTCAGGTGAAATTTTTTTGTGCACGTTTAAGCAGTTCAAGGTTAGTAATACTAACAAGTCATACCCAAGAGAGCATCTATGTTGTATCAAGCTTTGGTGAATTAAGGCTAGCTGGACATGAATGCTGTGGAAGCATTTGTGAGGCATGTACTGCTTTTTGTCACATGCATTTTGTGTGGGCTTGTCATCGGTACATCAGTCTTTGTCTCTACATAATGTTCAGTTGGATCATCCTAGCAAATGCAGGATATGATGAACTGCATACCACACAAGTCCCATGGTGCTGTCTTGTCTGGGTTGAGGGCTATGATGGGCAAAAGCTTGGAGCCCCAATACCAAAAGCAGCTGTATTCGAATTAAAAGGCAGGAATATAATTTTAGATGTGTTTTTAAATACAAAAATATTTGTTGAACATATTGCACATCAAAACTAAAGAGAAAATAAAATATAAATTGTTGCTGTAAGTGATTTTTTTCCCCTCTGGTTATTTAAAAAGCAAAGTTTGCATACTTTCTCAGTAGACTTGCTCGGTGTATGTACTCTCCTTAAATGGATCAAACGGATGCAATGATTAAATGAGGGGTGTTGGGAAAACATACAAAATGACTGCCCCGTACACAGCTGCAGGTGTATTTCAGAATAACAGTGTTGTCTGTGTGTTAAGTGAGGAGAAGCATTGCAAACATTTTCGGTTGTGTTTAACCATTTTGCTTGACATGTTTCTAAGTCAGGTTTTGGAAACACAGGAAAGCTAGCCAAACTTGAAATGTGTGTGTGCAGCTGTATTTGTTAATGAGGAGGTTTTTATCCACTAGCCTCAACGTTGGATTGCATTACACATTGTGGGGAGGGGAATGTTTAGCTTGTCTAAGCTTGGTTTCCCAGCTGTGAGGCTGTCTTTGGGGTTTACTTTTTAAGAAAACTCTGGGTGGTCTTACTGCTCCACAGCCAGCACTTGCAGCACTTAGCTGCTCGGAGACATCTTGTTTTGATTAACTGTGTGGTGCTCCAATGTATTCTGGAAATTGTGGGGAAAGCTAAGAGTTAGCAGCTCAACACACACTAGCAAGGTGCTGGATTTTATCCAAAATAATTTTACCTGTTCAATATTCTGGTGAGAACTCTCTACTTTTGCATAAACATCTATGAACTGTAGGAACATGCTGGACTGTGAGTTAAATGAACTTTCTGGCTGCTACACAATTTTTTTTATTTTATTTTTTTTAAAGATTGAAGACTTGTTTGAGTAAATGCCTCCCAGACTTCCCCTCTTCTTTGAGCCAAAGAATGGCAAAGAGAATGATGGAATGTCAAAGAGTCTCAGATTTGAAAAGACAAATCCTAACTATTTCTTTACCTGACACATTGGGAGGTAGCATTTTCCTTTGATTTGCATTGCTTTGCCTTATTACTGTAGTTGCCAGTCTTGGGATACAAGATATGGCTGGTACCACACATTTTTCCAGAACTGCTCTATCAGACAATTCTGGGCTTTAGCTTCATAAAGTCCAATGATAAGCCATGGCTCTAATTTTCTTTGGCTTCCCATGTATGTGCAGTGCCAGGCAGTTTCAGGATCCTTTTTCAATCAGTACTGTCAATGTGATCAACTAGGGCAGGGGTGGTCAGCTTGTGGCTCCAGAGTCTCCTTGAATCTTTGCACAAGCGCATGGTGACCAGCTTCCATTTGGAAGCTGGTCACTGTGTGTTTGTGCAAAGATTCAAGGAGACGTATATTCACTTCTGAAGAGCTGCATGTGACTCCGGAGAGACAGGTTGGCCACCCCTGGTAAGGGGTGGCCAACATTTTAGCTCCTGTCCATAGCATTGATATTTGGGCCCAGCTTTGGATCCATTTTTTGATGCCACCTAAAGAGGCTGGCTTCCTGGTGTTTGCAGCTGGTTCCAACTGAGTGTGATGACATTAGGTTCACAAATTCAGCTGCTGAGTCTCTAAGAACAGGGTAGTTCCAGTTCTTCAGAGTGCCCTTTGGGGTCCAACACTGGCTGCAGAGCTCTTACCTGACCCTTTCATGGTAGTCTTTCTAGCAGTTTGGCTGTCAACTTTCCCCTGTTGTTGGGGCTCAGGCCAGTCTACAGCTTCTTGCCTAGACTGAAGGCATTCTCTGGATCAAGGCTCAGGACTAGGTAATCTCTGAAAGATTAATCTGTTGTGGTCTTTACCAGACAAGATCCTGACCCTTTTGTCATCCCATCAGATGACATCTGTGTGCCCCAAGCCCTTCTGAACCTCCCTAGAGAAAGTTAGCTCTGGATTTCTAGGAATTGACTCTCTCAAGTTTACTTGGAGTATTCTCCCCAGCATAAACAGACACGAGTACCTGGCTTACCCTCCTTTGAATGACAGACAGGCATAACTTTTCCTCTGGTATTGATCTTCTGGGACTTCCTAGGATAAATAGAGGTTCCCTGGAACTGTGGAAAGAAGCAGTCCTCTAGTGCAGACAATTTCCCACCTTACACTAAATGTTGCCTTCTGTCTCCCACAGTGATTTCTTCTTCTGCTTCCCATCCCTTCAACCACTACCTGGCTCATGAACCCACTGGTGTTTAGATGGATACTGTAGTGGCTGGATACAATTCAGCCACGGGTTACCTCCTCCCTGGCCTAGCTCTGATACAGGTGCCTTCACTTCCTCTAGAGTCCTACCTAATATGCCTGAAAATGCCTTGAGAAGATTGAGAAGGAGGATCTATATTGTACTGTTGAGTAGCCTGACCTGTACTGGGATAAGTGCATCTCATCTGTCAGGGATATGAACTATAAGTTGAGCTGTAGACCTGGTCTCTTGTCCTTCTTTGACAACCAGGGTAGAGGTTGTGTTTTATAAGCTGGCCTTTCAGTTGCTAGGGGGAATTGGAAACCCCTCTCCAGGTATGTGGGCATTGTTTTGCAGTCACACACATGTGAGTACAGATATACACAAGTAGAAATTAACTTGCTAGTAACTGAACTAGTAACCAGAACTGGAATTAGCAGGAGTGATACCAAGTGATACTGATGTAAGCTGGTATAACAATGCGTCTGTAACATCAGTGCATTTCTTGTACTGATAAAAGTGCAGATAATGCCCTGTAACTGCAACCCTGTTTTATTCAGGGTTAAAGTTTATAGCCATTCAAAGGATAACTTGTTTCATTACAGGAACAAGCAGATGTAGCAGTTGCACCCTAACAGCCCTTACACTCACCTGCTCCCTCTCCCCCTTTTCAAGCAGTTATAAAAGTATGCTTATCCATAACCATAGAGATGTGTTGTCCATATGTACATCTGCATCCTCCCCTCCTTCCCCTCTCCCTCCCAGTTGCATGCAACTTAGGACTGCAGTTAAGAAGAATCCCAGGAACAGGGAACATGCGTTGCCCTTAATCCCTGTGGTATAAGCAAAAGGGGAAAGCGGAGGGGCTATGCCATGCCATATGGTAACTAAGGCAGAAATTGTCCAAGCTGGAGTGCTGTGGCACATACACTCCCACAGTGAGGATATGCATATGGACACTGGACAGGGTGTCTCAAACAACTCCGGTTCCTGCTTAGTAACTGCTGTTAACCCATTACCTTGTCTCAACCTCGATTTGCTACCCTTACTTGTTGCATGTTATTTATATTTAGACTTTTAAGTTCCGTGGGCATGGACAGGTGCTAGCTATTTTAGAAGACACTTTTTTAAGTGACTTCCAAGTAAGGTACATTTTTTTTTTTTAGGGGAATGAGTTGAAAAGTAGATCATTGTGAGTTGAAAAACCCATTAATCTTGGGAGACTTAGATTTTTCTATAATGCCATTAACGCCAGCCAGGAAGCAAAATTTTAAATGCTTCCTGATGGGGATAGTTGTCTTTATTGGTTTTTCCATCTCTGATGCCTTTTTGAGTTGAAACATTTGTTTTACTGTTTTAAAAGTCTTAAAATAAATTTGTTTTAAACTGTAGTTTCAGTCACACTGTTGGAGCTCAAGTCTGGCAGCATCTTCCTTTTATTAAACAATTTTTGCAGGTTTCAGAATTAGCTTAATTTTTTTGCCTCTTAATTACACACTCACACTCT